GGGGGGGGGGGGGGGGGGGGGGGGGGGGGGGGGGGATTGCTGTTATTGTTGTTGTTGTCTTCACATTAAATAAAAACATTCCGATCTCTCCATCCAGCACCTCCCGGGGTGGTGTACTCATGGTCGTGCATGCCGTACGTCGTCTTTAGACCATTGACCTCGCACCGCTACAACGCCGGGCCGGAGCGATATGAAGGTGGCCACGATGAGAAGATACTCTAAAACGCCGTGTCGCGATGGATCACGGTCTTGTCTCCGCGGAAAAAAACTTTCAACACATCCCCTTCGACTGCTGTGGTCTTCCTTTCATTGTAGAACTATGCATATTTTCTAGACACGATTTACGGGCCCCACAGAAACAACCATCGCAAGCAAACATGCGCGCTGATTTGAAGTGAAGACAAAAAAAAAAAAAAAAAACATGCTGTCAAATCGAAGGTTTTCACGATCGCCTTACACCACGAGAAAAAAAATGGTCACGGATGTTCGCGAGTAGAGAAAAAATCATGCACCCACACTCGATACCCCCGCCCCCGCTCCGGTCGTCTTATTTCCACTAACCTGCACCGCGACAAGATTGACATACGCCTCCAGCAACTTCGGAACTCCCGCCGCTTGCCCTGCGGCCCCGCCTACAAGCAGGGCCGGAGCCGCCCGCAAAGCTCCCAAGACTCCTGCCCACACCGCTTCGGTGAAGTACTGCCCCCACAGCCGGACGTGGACCTGCGCACAGGAATCATTGGGTTGGGGATAGCAAACAAGCGCTGTTCAGGGAACATCGCTGTTGTTGACTGATTGAGACAGGGTTCCCGTGCATGTTAACGGAGTACTGACAGCTGTATCATGCTCAGTTTACACTTGTCCGGCGCAAAGACAAACACACCGATTTTCCACCAGCAACATGGATTTTTTCTCTTTCTCTCTCTCTCTCTCCCCCTTCCTCCCCCTCGTGAATCATTAACCTCGCTCACCAGCACAGCGGCCCCCTTCCCCCCGACGGCGCGACCGTCCGTGTCCACAATCGTACTCCCCAGCAGCGCGGGCGCGGGACAAAGCCTGCCGGGGGCGATCCTCCTCGACCGAAACAGCGGCGCAGCAGCACCACCACCACCACCACCGGCACCGTCGTTGTTCGCTGTCCCCCCTGCCCCCCCCCCCATCCCCGCCTCTTCGGCCTGAANACCACCACCACCGGCACCGTCGTTGTTCGCTGTCCCCCCTGCCCCCCCCCCGATCCCCGCCTCTTCGGCCTGAAAGAAGGACCACTCTGCCGCGGCCGCGGATCGCTCGACCTCGGCATCATTAAGGAGGAGTTCGGTCAGGGCGAGCACCTGCGCAAGACGGAATAATGTGGAGGCGGTTCAGATTGAGTTAAAAACGCCGAGAGGAGTGGTGGAGTGCGGGGTTGTACTCATAGTCGTGCATGCCGTAGTCGTTAGACCTTTGACCTCGCATCCCTACGAAGCTGGGACGGAGAGCAGCCAAACACAACGACGCTCGCTTTCCTTCAGCACACTATTAAACAACAACCAGCAGCAGCCAGCAAGCGAGCGAGCGAGCAAGCACCTGCTCCAAGAAGACGAGCGGCATGCGCCGCGCAACGTCCGCGAGCACCGCCGCGTGCGCCCCCGCGCTGGCCGCCGCCCTCTTCCGCCCGGCGCCCTTCTCGCCGACGATAAGCCCCGACCCCGCCAGGGCGTTGGCCGCCGCCACCAGCCGCAGGCCCGCGCCTCGCGAGCCGGCCTCCGACGGGATGGGGGCCCCGCGAATGACAAACTGCTCCGCGAGCATCGGCAGCATGCGTCTGTTCGTTGTAAGAGATCAGGGGGAGGGGAGGGGGGGGGGGGGGGNGGGGGGGGGGGGGGGGGGGGGGGGGGGGGGGGGGGGGGGGGGGTCCGTCGCGACAGAGACAAGGAAGTGTGTCAGCAGAACATTGCTCGTATCGACAGACAAAAAGAAAGTCCGATCCTCGTCTCTGAACTCGCGTACTATATTTCCGATCAGAGGCAGAAAAGAAGAAAAATGGGGGGAGGGGAGGGCTCCGTGGGGATAGGGAGCGGAAGGGCCGTACCATTCTCGTGGCCTCGAAGAGGAGCGCCCCCCAATCAATCCCGAGAACAACTTCGGAGTCATTCATTACGGGCGTAGACGGCTACTTCGCGCGTCCTATCATGGTAGAGTATATGAAATATAAAAAGCGCGAACACGTGCGCCCGGAAGACCCGACCCATCGACACTATGCCTCTGCCTCCCCCGCCACGGCACACGCGCGCGGTATTGTACGGCTACAGTGGGGTTGTTCATAGCATCACCTCTCCATTTCCGGACCGACGGTTGCGGCGAAATCTGACGGCGCGGCCATGCACAGCTGGTACAGCAGGTACTCGGCCGCCGCCCGGGCAACGCGCCGCCGTTCACGCGCGACGCCCCCCCCCTGGTCGACCACCGCGGTGTCTCCCTCCATTTCCTCGGTTTTGACGGTCGCGACAGCACAAGTCTCGGCGGTGGCGCTGGAGGCGGACGATTCTTCTTTCGCCTTCTTCTTCTTCTTCTTCTTCTTCTTCTTGTCCTTCTTCTGCTTCTGCTTGTCCTTGGTGGTGTTGTCGGCAGCGTTGTCATCATCATCATGCTCGTCGTCGCCTTCGGCACCATCATCGTCTTTCTCGTCGTCCTTCTCGTCGTCGTCGTCGTCGTCGTCGTCGTCGTCGTCGTCGTCGTCGTCGTCGTCGTCTGCGTTATCTTCGTCGTCGGTTTCGGGGGCACCGTCGTTTCCTCCTTCTTCCTCCTCCACCTCATCCCCCTCCTTCTCCTCGCTGCTACTGCTGTTGTCGCTCTTGCTGCGTCTCCCTTCGGAGGGAGGGCCGCCTGTCATAGCGTCGCCGGGCGTCGGAACCAAAGCCCCGTCCTGCTGGACAAAGGAGGAGAGCCGAGAGGGAGAGAAAGGGAGGAAAACGAAAGCGCTAAAAAAAAAACAAGCGTGCGGTGAACAAAGTGCACCATCGTCCATATAGGGAGGGGGCAATTTTGCCGTTGGTTGTCGAGAGACAAACCACGAAAAACGCCAAATTCAGAATAAGTACAAATGTGCTGCCAAAAAACAAAAAACGAACTAAAATTATACACGTCTCTTAATCGAATTTGCGTGAGTTGCATGCAGTTATCTCGAAACCGCAAGTCGTCTACCCGACCCACACTCGGGGGGACAACACCCGGGTGCAAACACCAAGGCAAAGTCGCTACAGGAACAAGGCCACCCTACTCGCTACTCGCTACTCCCACCCCACCTCCTCCTCCTTGACGCGAACGCCTGCCTGCGCTTGCCCTTCCTCCTCCTCCTCCTNCTCCTCCTCCTCCTCCTCCTCTTCTTCTTCCTCTTCCTCCTCCTCACGCAAAGCAATCTTCGTCAGGGCGTCCACGGCCACAGCAAGGCCGCCGGACTTAACGCCGCCGCTGATGCACGCTGCGAGCAGCAGGTGCGCCCATTCTCGCGGGACGACAGCCGACGCTGCTGCCGCCTGCTGGACATCACTTGCCCTCGCTACTTCCCCTCCCGCAGCCCTGCCTCCTGTTTCCCCATGTCCGCTGCCGCTCCCTCCTGCCCCCTTCTTCCTCAGGGCGGCTGTAGCAGTCGAGGGAAGACGAACCCCCGGCAGAGCCACGAAGATCAGGCGAACCAGGCCTCGGATCTTTCGCGTCGCGGTGGGAGAGCATTTCCGATCGCGGCGTAACATTGGCCGCACGAAGACAAGGCAGAAGCGAAGCAAGAGAAGACGATCAGCATCGAGCAAAGCTACTGCACGCGCAAATTGCACGAGTCGCATGGCTGGTTCGTGTACAAGGACACAAGAGAACGTAGGGATAAAGGAGACAAATTCGTGCGGATCCCATCCACCTTCCGCCACGTGCTCTTCCTTCCGGATTAACGACCAAGGGTTAGGGCCAGGGCTTTGGATCGGACGTGAGACGCTCACAAGGCGTCTAATTTCAAGTCTCTCGTGTGACACATCACCCTTTCCATCGTCAAACCTCCCTGCATGCGCCCCAAAAACACATTCGACAGTATCGAATCAAACCACACATCCAAACCACGCCTTGCCTACCCCACACCCACCTCCAAGGAAGAAAACGCCGTCCAGAGGCTACCAGAACCCGGCGAACCCTTGTTCCCGCCCGCGAGCCCCCCACCCCCTCCCGCGAGGCTGTTGCTGAGTCCGGCCCGCGGGGACCCCTTCGCGTTCCGCTGGTGGTAGTACGGCCGCGCCCACGCCTCCAAGCTGTCTGCGCCGCCCACCTCTCCGACTTGCGGAGCTATGATAGCAACTCTGGGGTCCCTGTGACAGCGAGACATGGAGGAGGGGGGGGGGGGGGGNGGGGGGGGGGGGGGGGGGGGGGGGGGGGGGGAGGTACCCGATAATTATCAGGGGAAGGGATTTGCATGCTTCGCATATTTCGGGGATAGGTCGTGGTTTGAGTCCCCGCGACAATCGGGTCGTCGACAAGAATCACCACCTTGTCTGTGTGCTTCTTTTGAAAAACGTGTATCGCACCACAGTAAAAAAAAGAAAATGAAACACAGGAGAACGGTTTGGCGAATGATGTGGTGTGATGACAATACTACACGGCAAAGTGTGGTGCAACAGCTGCGCGAAAACGAACACACGCCGCACAATTTTCACTTTGGAACACCAAAAATATCAAAACAACAAAGTGTCCGTCCGTCCGTCCGTCTCGATCTTGCCACAGACAGCAGCCGAGTATAGCAGTAGGTGACGTAAGACATTATACCTCCTGGACCCATATTCAAACCTCAACTACTACTCCACGGCAGAAAAGAGTGGCGGTGCCGAAAATGGTGGCGTGCGTTCGAAACGCCTCGTCGATAACTTGGCCGACAGCGCATTGTTCGATGTATTTATTCATCATTATTCTTCGTTATGGAGGTGTAATCGAGCTTGCTTTGAAAATAGGTCCAGGGATGCGGGGCGGGGTGGGTGATGTCTTACATCATGTCGCCTGCGGCAGCCACCCATGCCTCACCTCGCGAGCCGGCACAGCCCCCTGAGCACAACCGCCGCAGTCGAGGCTACAAGCAGATCCTCTCCTTCCTCGTCCGCACCGCACGAACCCCACCGCAGAAAACCACCGCCGCCGCCGCCGCCGTCACCGTCATCGCCAGCGGGCTCGTCGTTACCAGCGGCTCTCAACGCCAGGTGCAAGCACCGCTCGGCGGTGGCGGGGGTGCACTTGCGGATGGCGGCGTCGAGGAGCAGGGTGTGCCAGTAGGACGAGCAGGCGTCGCGGTGCCCCTCCCGCGGAGCAGCGGAGGATGAGGATAAGGATGAGGATGAAGGGAAAAGGACCGGCAACAGAATCCCTTCCAGCAACGCCTCGTCGTCAGGATCGGACAGCAAGAAATCGACGATCGCCTATGTAGGCAAGGAAAAGGGCGAAAGAGCGAGCGAGCGAGCGAGCGCGCATCGATACGGACGGCGGACTTGCCGAGCAAGAAGAAGCGACAGGGGGGAATAAAGCATGTAAAGGACAACCAAAAAAAACAAACAAACAACGACAGGGTTAGTATGTCTACAAGGGCAAACAAGAGCAAAACAATTTGAGGGCGTACAGCACCACAAAAAAAGGTTCCCGCGGCCCAAAAAATCGACCCTCGCACCTGCTGCTGTACGTCAAACCCTCTCGATACAAAACGACGGCGCCCAGGAGGCACACCCAAAACACAGAGTAAACCTGATCGTACCTTGAGTGGAATCATTCGCCTGTGTGCCGATAGTAGTCGATGGGGGAGGTTGCATACGTAAGCGCGAAGGAACAGGTGAGCCCCATCCCTACCGCGGCTACTCCCCCCGCTCGCGCGACCTTCACGTTATTGTGTGGGAAGATCTCCTCGTACCTGCTGGGCACGGTGCGAAGTGTGCGCGGCCTGCGATACGGTAGACTTGGCGCTCTCCTTCGAGCCCGTGGTGCTGCCGCTAGCCTTTGCTTCCGCCGAAGGCTTCGGTTCGGATTCGCGGGCCGTCGCGTGAGATACCACCGTAGTTGTTGATGTTGTCGCTGCCGATAGGCCGGGGGGACAGCTGCTGTGGAGGAGCGCTTCTAGCGCCGCGGCCTTTATTTCGTTTGTTGGACGTCCGGGTTTTGTCACGAACGACCACACGGGGGCCATACGGCGGCCATACAAAACGGGAGGGGGCGCGGGGGGGGAGGGAAATTGAGTCAGACTCGGGGTGCATGCGGCAGGACTTCGCTGTATGTGCAAGCTACCATGACAGGACCTGGCATTTACTCGAAAATGTGCGCTTGCATGACTACCCCGTAAGAACACCCAAACCGGCAAGCACTACACGAGCAGCGGCACGAAGCGCATACCGCCCCGGTGAGGCGCCACGCAGGAAGTCAAACCAACCCCACGACGTCTACACGGGCCACGACACCGGAGCACTCGGCTCGGCGGTTCAAGGTTGGTCTTGTCCCGCGGTAGCTAGCCCGAATCAAGCACGTTCTGCCACACGGCAAAAGCACGACCCATGGAGTCCGCCACGCACACAAAGCAAGCTTCCCACCCCTACTGGAAGCAACTTTTGCTCAACTCATTTTGATAAGGTGGCCCGCTTCCGTGCCCTCCTTGGTGCCGCGATATCTCCACTAGAAAAGACTAGAGAAGGACTCACGATGGCGCCAAACCCAAAACAAACAAAGCGTGCTCAAAACACGGACAAGGCAGCCAGGCGCGTGCACACGCGCACACACGCAAGGGTTTTCCGATAATAGCCGCATTGATTGAGATTGAGAGTGGCGTCATTTCATTGGTCAGCCGGTTAGCGCCGTCAATGCTAGCAATAAAGCCGCACACGCACACACACCCCTTCGTTTAGAAAAACCTGGTGTTTTTATGCTGCTACAAGACTGGTGTCTTTCTGCTGATCAGCCGGATTGCACCGTCAATACCAACGATAACACTCTCCATACCTTGGCTCGGCGAAAGACGTCTTCCACTCTCGAGACCGCCTCCGCCGCCTCCGCGCACCTCGCCGCCAACAGCCCCCCGCCGCCGGCCGCCGCCTTCTTCTCCTTCTTCGCCGTCGCCTTCTCCTCCTCCCCCTTGACGGTCGCCGACGGCACCGGCTTTGCGGGGTCACCGGGCTCCGGCCCCGGACCACTCTCGAACCCGCCGTTGCTGCTACCGTTGGAAGAGGGGCGGGGGGAGAACGGCAGCCGCCGCCGCCGCTGGGGAAGGGACGGAGGTGCGACCGAAAGTAGGAAGGCGTTCTCACCCTCGCAGAGCGCGGCCGACCGCTTCGCCCGCCAGCTGTGGTCGAAGAAAAACGAAGAGAGAGAGAGAGAGAGAGAGAGAGAGAGAGACGTACCGTACACGGTTGGAGGGGGCAACAACGGCGGATTGAGAGGCCGCTTCAGGGGAGGGTTGGTGTGGAGAGGTGCCTACGCGGCGGAGAGATGGCACCCCCCCCCCCCCCCCCCCCCCCCCCCCCCCCCCCCCCCCCCCCCCCCCCCCCCCCCCCCCCCCCCCCCCC